TATATATATATAATATTATTATATTGAATCACGAGGCTGACTTTTCTCTTTTAAAATAATACTTGTTACGAACATTTTCAATTATATTAATTATGATAATAATAGTTTTATTATTTTGACAAAAGTACTTTTATTAAAAAGGTGAAACGTGATCCTTTTTTTCATTTGATGTTAACGTACAATCGGGAAAGAGCATGATTTATGGTCTACTTTAAGTTTTTTTTTTATAAGCAAAACAAATTTAAATTAAAGGGAGTACAAGGGGTACTCCAACCCATTACAAGAGACACATAGACAAAATTAGAATCCAGGCTAGAAAGAAACTATGAGAAATACAAATTCGGGTTATAATACCAACTTGTGTAACTAAAAGAACACCCAGGGACAGAACTATTAATCCACTTTCATGAACGCAATTTAATATTATCCAACACTTCCTTGCAATCTGTAGTACCTTGTTGAAAGATAATGACATTTCGATGAAGCCATAGTGACCAGATAACAGAAACCCAAACCACCCGCAAAAAGTGAGAATGTTTTTTATATATACCAAGATTCGTCCAATATAAATAAAGAGAAATTAAAGAATTTGGAAAGACCACCGCAACCTCCAAAAAATTAGCAACAGCTAACCAAGTATTAAATGTCATCGGGCACATTAGAAAGAGATGAAGAGGGTCTTCAACAAACAGAGAGCAAAAAGAACAAAAATTATTATCCAACTCCACACCACGTACTTGTAACAATGATTTGCACAGGAACGCATTCAATAACACCTGCCAACAAAACACCAAGCACTTGATCGGAGCCTTACATTTCCAAAGACTTTTTATAACTAGTTGAAAATCTGAAGAGTATCTGAGTTCTCCACCTACTGAGCGTTGTAGCCAAAGGTACGCACTTTTCACCGAGAATACACCGTCCTTATCATAAATCCATCTCCAATAGTCTTGCCTTGAAAAGATAACCTGCAAGCCCTGAAGCATATCCAACAAGATATTCACACTCCTACCTTCATGAACAAAAGGTTCTCTTCTCCAATTAACATGTCACACCCACGTAGATCCCTCCCAAGTTCCATTATCTGCCACCAATGACAACGGGTCCAAGGCAAAGGTTTAAGTTGTTTGAAGCAAGATTTCCTCTTTGTAGTAATTGAATTGAGTTTGTAATTTATAACTTTATCCTTATTTTTTCTGTAAAAAAAAAAAAAGAAGAAAGAAACTTTATCTTTATGTTTACGTTGTTATCCTCAAAATTTAATTAATATTTTCATCAATTACTCGATCATTAAATAATATACTAATTTTTTTTATTGTCAAGAAGAATACTATAATACTATAGTATCCAACTATCAATTCAAAATTAAAATCTTACAAGCTAAAATCCTTAAAATTAAATGTCACATCAAATTATGGAAAATCGTGGTTATACAACAAATGTGTAAAAACAATTTACGTTTATTTTTCTCTGTCACATCATTTAATATATTCGATAATGATGAAGAAATAAATACACACAGAAAAGTAATGTTGTCTAATTTGTTACTTCTTTTGAAGTCAATTATAAACACATTTAAATAACTTTTACGCTAATTATATCAATTAAAATTATTTTTTTAATTTTGTTAATATCATTTAATTTTATTAATCTTAATTAAAATTTATTTTTTTTCTATACATAACTGGCTGGAATTTGATACTAAAAAAAGTCAATAAAAATAAAATTTTAATTAAATAAAGTGTATTTTGCAAATGGTAACATTAAATAGGATAAAGTTAATTAAGATTTATTTATATTTATATCCAAAATTTTTGAGATTTTTTTATGTTTATATTTAAGTTTGCAGAAAATACATGAATTGTTGTACGTGTATTATTATCATTATATTTAAGCTATGATGTACACATACAACACCAATATTCAAGACGATATATTTAATATGACAATACAATTTATTTAAAAATTATGTATGATGCAAAACACATGTACAATGCATTATTAATGTAAAAAGTTTTAGATAATTAATCTATCAAAAATCATAATTTATATGATTTTTAAAATAATTATTGTAAAAGTTAATCAATTTATCATTTATATAAATTGTGATTAAATAATAATATAAAATTATTTCATATTATAAGTGTATCACAGTTGAGCATATTCAAATTAAGAAATAAGAATTATAAAAGTTATTGTTATAAATCTTTCTTATCTACAAATAGGAAATTATCGATTTTAATATTCCTTTCTTAAGATCATCCTTAAAAAAATATTTAATTCATCAACACACAATACTTTTATTTTTTTTCTATATTATATATGCCTGTATGTCCTGTAGCCACTTAAAGGTATTACTAAACATCCATACATAAATATGGAAACATTGTAAGAAAACAAACTTATAATTATGGAGTAACCAAAGTACCCTTCAAATCCTCGCGCATGGAGGTTATTAAATCCAAACTAAAGAAAATTACTAATAAACATTAAAGCTGGAATTTTTCTCCTCTCGTTATTCCCTCCTTCCTCAACTTGGTCTGAAACATGTTAGAACACATTAATGAGAAAAATGTTTCGGTAAGCGTCCTGGAACATCACACCCACATAATCCATAACTAGACATATAATTTATACATTGCAATTAACTTCAAAATTAGGTAGTAAAGCATAGAGAGAGAAAAAAAAAACTATGGAATATTACATTCAATATGCATTTAAAAGTTTAACTTGAACGTCTCTTTTACTTTTCTTTTCCATCCTCATAATAAATTTGAGCTAAGAATCTCCAACCCTCTTACTTTTGTCATACATCCATTAAGAATTTAAAAGGGACGAATATCCTTTCTTACTCAAGAGGACATTGAGTTTTATCTTTCATGACTCCTTGAAGATTCGAAAGCTTTACTGTCATTTCTTGTCCAAAAAAGACCCATTTTAATCATTTTGCATATTTGACATATTAAAAAGAAAACATATAACAATTACAATTATTTAAAATACATTTAATGCAAAAAAAAAAAAAAAACTTCACTTTCACTCTAATAAGAGAATTAAGTATTAGTATGCTTTAGGAAGTATGCCCATGTTTGTTTCTAGCACGCTCGTACTTGACAACATGAGATGTATTTGAAGTGTAACCTCAAAATCTTAGTTAGCAGAGTCGTGGTCCCTTGATATTCTCATGCTTATTGCAAAGCATAAATCTGGAATGAAGGAGGACTCTCTTCGTTTCCTTTTCCCCTCCTTTCTCACTCGAGTTAATTTGCATTTTTAGTCTAATATCTCATCTACAATTTTAATCTTTTAAATTTTAATTTCATAATTTTAATTTTTTAAAATTTGTTAAATATTTGTTTGTTTATTATTAAAGTTGTAACATTAATTAATTAACATGACAATCAATATTTAGGTTAAATTGTAATTTTAGTCCTCATTTTATCCTATTTTATATTATTTTATCATTTTTATGATGTAAAATACTAAAAGTATAGTTTAACTCAAATATTATTAAATATTAATTATTACATCATTAACTCAATATCAAATCATAATCAATATTATAATTTTAGTGATCCACACAAGCAAATTTAACGGTTATAAAATTTCACAAAATTTAGAGACTAAAATTGTTAAAGTACAATTTAACCTCTCACGTATAGTTACACATGTCCCATAACAATTATTAAAAATCCTCACTCAAACCCTCAGTCATACAACAACAACATATATACAATTAAGATAGATCTTTTAAATTCTTATACTTGTAGTTTTTTTAATTATTTTAGTCTTTATCGTTAAATTTTTTATTTTTTGTAATGTTTCTTTCATGTTGACATGATAAATGTATTAATTTAACTTTATGTATCAAATTTATTTTACTAGAATTACCCTAAATTAAACTTCTTGACACTTTATATTTTTTTTATATCCTCACCTATGATATTCATTGTTAAAATACCTTTCTTTTTTACTTTCATAAAACTGAAGTGTCCAACCATATCAACATAAAGCATACGTTACAAAAAATATTAACAATAGAGATTAAAAGAATTAAAAAATATAAATATAAAGACTAAAAAAATTTATCTTAAATAATAGTAACTAAAAAAGATTTAAAAAGATAAGTATAGAAATTAAAAAAATTTATTTTAAAATATAGAGACTAAAAATATTTGTTTTAAACTATAAGAACTAAAATGTAAAATAAAACTATAAAGATTAAAAAAAATAATCTAATAAAAATATATTATATTATATTAGTAAAATATAATAAATAGTTAAGATTTCATGTAGTGATAATATCATTATAGAAAATTCTTTCCCTTATCATTAGAAGTATAGAACTAAGGTACTTGTATTGTATCTTAATATTTTTGAAAATGGGAGTTAACCTTCACCGAGGCAGAAAGCCAGAATGCAATAAAGGACTGTGCACGGGGAGGCGAGTTTTGTTTTATGCTATAAATTTGATGTATTTATCAAATTTTACAAAATGTTTGACACAAGATGGTGGCACGTTAACCCTCAGAAACATTAACTGAGAAGCAAAACAATTAGACAATCAAGACATGAATTAATGACATATCTCGTTTGAGCTCCTGAATTTACTACTCTTAACCAATGAACAAATGCAACCTTGACGGTAACTTATCTACGTTTGGCATCCCCTTTTGATTGAGAAGGAACCGTTCCAAAAACTTTATCCCACAGTGGCGAAGTGATCCCGAAGCCATAGCTGTGGAGCCTATAATGATGATTCAAGTGGTATTTCTGCAAAATAACGAAGAAATTATTATTTGTCTTTTCCTAGCTTACAAAATCCAGATAGTTGCCGATACATCACACAGAAAAATGAGACGATCCAAAACCTTTAGAAGGGTGGAGAGGAGAATGCTATCATGTTTTATGGCCAGTGTAACTAAAATGAAAAAGAATGCCTCAATGTTCCACTGTTTATGAATTTAATGTCCTTCAATTTCTAATCAAATTAAATATTAAGGCCAACTTTTGATGAACTATTGCCTCTGGTAAATTACACAGCTTTTACTTATTGACAAGATGATTCTGCTCAGTAAAACACTGGAGTATGGAACCGTAGTTTAATTATCATCCAGCTAAAGGTTTTACCTTGAGACTTTTGGGCATATTAGACTTTGGTTGACCATGGTGCAAGTAGTAATGGGTGCAATCATACATCACATAGCCCAACAAAATACCTCCAAAGATTGCAGGAGCAGTTGAAGGCGTGCATAAAAGCTTCACCAAGTTCCAAATCTGAACATGGCAGACAAAAACATTAACATCAATTCATGGAATCTCTTATGTAAGTTAAACTTGGAAAGTATAGACATAGAGTAGCGCTATCTCTAAATTTCACCAACATCTTCATACTAATCAAACATTTTATAAAATGCCAAAAAGCTTTCTGGCCGTTTTCAAAGGAAAGCTGCAAACTATGTTACATATGGCGACATGCCGAGGTTCTTTTGTTACATCAACAAGGCCATTCCAGAAGCAGCCATAAGCCATTTCTTTATTTTAGGAAACTCCAACAACATGATTGTGAAGGGTATAAAGATATATCCTTTTGGAAGCTGCAAACTATTTGCTTTATGAAAAGGCTTATGAGTTTTGGATTTTCTTTCACTAGGGAAATAATTCTATATCCTTCTACAAATTTCTCTTGTTTAACTCAATGACCAAAAGTAGTGAATGCCTGATCTCAAGATAATAAACTTGACCCTGCCATTCATTTTTCCTCTCTAATAAAATTTCCTTTCATGAATAAAAACTGAACACTAAAAACAGAACTCAATATGACCTTTAAACAAGTAGTTTTTTTTATTTATCATTTATATATAATTGTAAACAACTCCGGAGTAAAGTATTTCACAGTATTAATATTAACCGAATACTTCAATGTTGCGATGATGAATACTTTCATCTCCAAAATATATTTTATTTAATTGAAATTCTATTTCTAATGTATCCTTTTTATTCTAAATATCAAGTTTCAAGAAGGATAATATAGAGAGAAAAAAATTTAAAAGAAATTAAATAATGTTAATTAACTTTCTTAATTAGTATACAAATTAGTTAATTTTTTTTTATAGAGTTCTTTTATTTTTTTATCCTACCATGAATATTTCCTAGTTCGACTGGGCCAGAAATTAATCGCGGTCGCGATTCTGTGACTGTCCCTCCTTGATTCAACGAGTTTTGCACATAGCCTATAATTATTCCTTGATTTATGAGTTGTGTCTTTAATTACAACTACCACTTACACTATTTAATTATGAGTATTTCTAAAATAAAATCTTAAATTACAATGACATTATATTAATTAAACTACTTCTTAATGAATTAGGTATAGAGAAACAGAGGCGATAACTACTAAAGGTATGAAAATGCATGATTTTGGATAGAAAAGAAATACCGGGAGGGCAATTAAAGCGGCAGCTGCAGGGGGGAAAACAAGTCTCAAGCTATCCATGGGGTGCTTGTGGTGGCAGCCATGGAGAAGATAATGCAAGGTGTTTCCCCTGATACACACAAGTACTCAGCATTATCTATTCATTGAAGAGACGTGCATTCAAACAAAACAAAACATAACACAGAACGAGAATAGAATACCAGTAGCTGGTGGTTTTAATATGGAAAAGAAAACGGTGCAACAAGTACTCGGCCAAAGTCCAAAGGAAGATGCCAAAACCCACGAGCAGAGGAACATTTTCAGAAGGAATGCCTAATTTAACAGAACTGGAAATGAACCAAGACGCCACCGGAACCCAAACGATCGGAATCACCCACCACGCAGTGCGCGTGAACAACTGTGAAACAACATTAACTTGAGAATTGAAATTGGTTTCATTGTTTTTCCAACAACAACAACGTACCTCCAAAATATTGCTTTGGAAAAAACGAGGACCGTCCTTGCTTACAATAGGCTGGTGAACCCACTCATCGTAGGCTTCCCCGAGATGCCCAACCTGCGCGGTGCGAAACAACATTTAACAAACACATGCTGTGCGTGCGATTAAGAAACACATAATTGGGCTTGGGCTTGGGCCTTTACCTGGAATACAAGGGGCTTATTCAAATCGACGATGAATTTCTTGGCGAGCATCTTGCGAGTGATGAGAAGAGAGGAGATCTGGAAAATGGAAATGCGAGATCCAAAGCGAGGCTCCCTCTTCGGCTCTTCGCGCGGGAGAGGGAGATTTCGGGAGTCTCTAATGTGATGTGGGTTGGTTCTCAGCGGAATGCGAAGGCAATTTGAAGGTCCATTTTATGCTCCTCCTTCCTTCTCTTATAGCCGTTAAATCCCTCTTTCAGAATAGAAAACCATCCCGAATTTCAGTCCTTGGTTTCCATCACTGCCAACTCATCATCATCATTGCACGCCATCTTCTTTTGTTACGCTTTTCCCCCTCTTCTTTTAATATTTATTTTTTATCCCCTATTTGTCGCAACGTTTACCTTACTCCTCAATCATTAAAATCAACTTGCCTCCATAACTAGAAGTATTTCCTGCTTTGCATGAACTTGGAAGCACATGCAAACACCATCAATGTTTTTTTTTTTTTTTTTCTTTCAAATAATTATGTTTTCACTTTATTTTTCAAAAATAGGTAAAAAAAAATATATGAGTTTTTAAAAACATAATTATTAGAAAGAAAGAAAAAACAAATACATTCTAAAAATTTATTTTATATGATAATTTGTAATTAAATACTTATATAATTTTTAAGAGTTGTCAATATATTTTGTACCACTCAACTCTATAATATCGATGATATTATGGTGTTTTAATTTAATTATATAATTATTGTTGTATTTCTAGTTGTTGTAATTTTGTTATTTAAGAACTTTGGAATTAAAGAATTTTGATAGTTAAGCTGGTCTTTAAGGAATATAAGAATTTTCTTTAAAAGAGAACTCCATAAGTTTAAGTTTTAAGAATTTTAGAGAGAAGCTAGTGAGAGACTTTTTGAAACTCAGATTCTTCTTCTCCTTTTTCTGAGAAATATTCCCCTTCTCTTTCTTTGTGACTAATCAATGTTGTTGAGTGGATGACTTAGATCTTGCAGAGCTTAGAAAATCCCAAGTCGAAAGTTGTTCAGTGTTGATTCTTTTTTCCTTTTTTGTTGTTTCAATTCTTTAAAAAAAAGTATAGAGAAACTCGTGTTTTTGATTGTTATAGTTGAATGCTTGTTGTTTGATGTTGGAATTCGCGGTTGTATTATTTATTTGGTGGTTGTTTTAAGTTGTCTGCTCTAAGTTTTATATGTATCGGTATGTAGATATGGTCGAGACATATGTGTATAAAACGACCAATCGAGTAAAATATAAGATTAGAAACTTAGTTCCTAACTAAATATTAGAGAGACATAATACTTGGAGGGTAGTTGATAAACTAATCTCATAGAAGGCTTAGTGTTTGCAAACTAATGTCGTAATAAACTCATACTCAAATTGTTTTACTTGGGTAGTAATACTAGATTTCCTAATTTAAGTAGCAAAACCTAAAAAATCAAATTAAGTTATTAAACAAGCCCTTTTAGAGGCCTAAAGTTTATATACTTGACTTAGTTGCAGTAGGTCAAACGTTATGGTTGGGTAGGGTCTAGTCACTTAAACTACTCACCCTATTGTAAGAGATCTCTTTAGTTGATATGCGTGACAACTCATTAGTTGTATATTCTTGTATGATGACCATGTTGTTGAGATGAAGTTGTTTAAGTTGTTTAATTATGTTGTAAGTATGTTGTTTTTATTTCACAAGCTTACCTTGTGTTTTTCTTGTGGCTGGAACTGGTATGATTATACTTTAGTATGAGAGCAGGACAGGATTAGCAAGACTTTGCTAGGATAGTTGGTGGAGAATCATGTTGGAAATGACTTCTTTTGTAATGTCTTTTTTTGGTGGCTAAGTCTTTGCATGCTATAATACATAAATAATAAAAATTGAATAACATAATTCTTTATAAATAAAACCAAATGTGTTTAGATAGAAAACATCACATTCTTAACTTAAAATAACATAATCATCAAAAATTACAAAAAATTAATGTCTCCAAAATAAATCAATGGAAGCAATATCCTAACTAAGCCTAATTAACTATGCCCCAATATCACTTCCTATCAAAACACAACCCATCATTGAAGACTAGGTCTCATCACCAATATTCTCAATCTCATACTGATGATTACATACATAACAACAAAATGACAACAATACAAAATAAAGGGAGTGAGAAATACTCCACTCTAGCTCATAATAAATGAATGCAATCAGATAACCAAACACAAATAAGACATATATATATATATATATATATATATATATATATGGGTAGATTGGTAACAATAACACACTTCACTCATTCATGACATAATAATTAAATAACACATAACATTAAGATGCATATGCAATGGACACAAACTACATATTATCGTGCATGTGGTGCTAGTAAAAACATCACATGGTGTATTGTCACTAGCAACACACAGAGTATCTTAAGAGTATATGTCAGGTCGTACCCTCAATGCACTCTCACTAGGGGGACATACTACCAGGAACTAGTCGAGATAGCTGAGTCACACAAGATACAGCCTATGCACATAATGGGTGAGATTAGGACTTTCAAACCAAGCTATCCCTAAGGACTGATCCCCGAGCTTTTACACAAGAGATCTTCTCTAGAGGTGTATTTCGTATTGTACACTTAAAAACACTTTTATGCATATGATGCTTGTAAAATGGACTCAATACCCTATCATATTACAATACATACTCATGATTATATCTTAATTCATTTCATAATCGCATTATGGCTAAGTCTCACTTACACTTCTCATTATATCAAGACCCAAGGTAACACATAATCCAATTCATACATGGTTCATACACAAGTATCATACATTGTATATCAAAATGATAAATATGACTTATCTCAAGTAATAGAGGTGATAAAAGAAAGAAAAAACAAGAAAATAATGAGAAAAATAGCAACATGAGTCAAAATTGTGACTCATGGATCATAGTCATGATGTCGATCAAGCCTATGACTAACCAATAACTCCTGTGACTAGCTCGACGAAATCCAAAGAGGGTCGAGATTCGAAAGAGTCATGGTTGTGACTCACCAATCACGTTTGTGGCATTGAGTCACGCCCATGACAGAATTTGGCAGTGTGAACTTTGACTCTTTGGACCTTAAAACTCATCCCATCACTAAAATTCATCAAGAATCACCAAAAGTGAACATTCAATCGGTAAACAAGTTATGAAGAAATTCATCAAGAATCACCAAAAGTGAACATTCAATCGGTAAACAAGTTATGAAGGGCATGTTATATTACAAAAGGCACAAGTTATACACACTAATTACATACTCATACTATCCATTCACATAATAACCATTTAGGGTTCCTATGGGAATCCATAGGCAATCCAAAACATGCAATTACTAATCAAAACAAGAAATTAAAGGCATATACATATATATAATAAGAATTAGAACATCAAAGAGCTATAGAGAAGACAAAAAAACATTTTGGGAAAAACCCTTATACGTAAGACATACAACAGAGATAGAATTGAGGTCAACCCCACTACCCAATATACAATCTCACACCCAGAGTGAGGTTTCTCACACATCTCTTACCTTGATAAGCACTAGATGACAGTCTTGCAACTTTAAGGTAGTTTCCTTTTTCTTTAGGTTCTCTAAGCTCTAAAGCATGAAAACATAGAAGAGAGCGTAAAAAGAAACTAATTAGAAAACCTCCCTTTTTAAAAGAAAACATAACTCCCCCTTAACCCATCATTTTAAACAATTAACTATAGTTACCAAAAATTATTTCCTCAATTAATAAATAAATAAATAAATAATGAAACATTTAATTATATAACTTTATAATATATACATATCTATATAAAAATAATTATTAAAACTAACTCAATTAATTATAACAAAAATAATAGTTAATAATTATGCAAATGTTTGTAATAAGAAAAATAGGGTGTTACAACTCTCCCCCTCCTTCTTAGAATTTCGTCCCAGAAATTACCAAAAACAAACAAATATGGATATGTCTCTCGCATCTGACTCTGCTGCTCCCAACTAGCACTCTCTTCAATATTCCCTCCCTAAACGACCTTAACTAAAGGAATTTTCTCACCTCTCAGTCGTTTCACTCTCTTATCCTCAATCCTCAAAGGAACAATTTTACAAGTGAGGTTATCTTTCAATTGATTTAACAATGTGGGATGGGTCATACACATATTTTCTGAGCTGGGAAACATGAAAGACATTATGCAAGTTTGGAAGAGATGGTGGTAAGGCAATTTGATAAGCTACATTACCAACCCTTTTAAGGATTTGGTAAGGACCAATGAAACGTGGAGTAAGTTTGCGGGGCTTAAGTGGTCGACCAACTTTAGTCCAAGGAGTTACCTTTAGAAATACATGATCTCCCTCTTTTTACTCAAGGTCTTTCCTTCTCTTATCATGGTAACTTTTTTGCCTACTCTTGGTTGTCCTCATCCTATCCTATATTAATCTAACCTTCTTCGTGGTTTTCTAAACTAACTCAAGCCCTAACATGAAACTTTCCCCCGATTCTACCCAACATAAGGGTGTCTTACATCTCCTACAATAAAGTGTTTCATAAGATGTCATCCCAATACTAAAATGGTAGATATTGTTATAGGTGAACTCTATCAAAGATAGAAAACTATTATAATTACTCTCATGTTCTAGGACACATGTTCTCAAAAAAATCCTCTAAAGATTGAATGGTTCTATCAATTTGGTAATTTATTTGAGGGTGATATGCCAAACTCAAGCTAAGCTTTGTACCCAAAGCATTATGCAAGCTCTCTAAAAATATAGAAGTAAATCTAAGGTTTCTATCACAAACTATGCTAACCAGAACTCCATGTACCCTCACAATTTCCCCTATGTACAACTTGGTCAATCTTTAAACTTGGTCCATCCACTATAACCCAGATGGAATCTAGATTCTTTGTAGTTCTAGATAGCCCAACCACAAAGTCTATGGAGATGTTATCTCATTTCTACATTGGTACATCTAATGGTTGCAACTTTTCTAAAGATTTCTGGTGTTTTACCTTAGATTTCTGACAAGCTAGACAGGTGTACATAAACTCTTTTATCTCCCTTTTCGTCTTAGGCTACCAAAACATCTTTTTAAGGTCTTGGTACATCTTAATGGCTCTTAGGTGGACACTAAGGTTACTCTTATGACCTTCCTCAAGGATCATCTTCTTTAGCTTAGGAATGTAAGTTACACACAACCTATCCTTAATTCTCAACACCTCATCAACATCCACTCTAAACTCACTATATATTTCCCTTGATTTAACTTCTCTATCTAACTTAACATAAAAGGATTTACCTTCTAGCCCTCTTTGAATTCATCTATCAAACTATTTGTTACTCTCAAAATTCCCAATCCAATAATGCTCTTAGGAGTCAAC